GCTAACCTGCTTACTGCCATAGTATTACAACATCATCCTCAGCATCAAGGAAATTGGGGAGAATGAGGGTTTCAAAGGGAATCATGATAATAGCACCTTTGTGGTTTTCCCAAGCTGCATCAATGGCCCACCTTGAAGATGTTGTGCCAGAGCGAGGCATGGGGTTAATACATTGGAGCCGGACGTTTCTTATGAAGTTTCAATGGCTTAAGGGTGAGTGCCCCCAGTAAGCAAATGGCCGCCCTCTGATTGCAGTAGCATCGCGCATCACTAGCATCAGGGGCGTTAAGGCGCTTGTAAGTGAATGTTTTCCATTGGTCATTGATTCCATGAGTTGCCAAGTCACGTTGCAAATCCGCACCTTGCTGGGCGGAGTGGTGGCCTGTGAAACTGTCGGCTAGCAAGCAACCCCATTCTGGTTCAAAGTCCCGACCATAGCGCTCACCAAGCTCTTGCCGGCGACGGTCAAAGGTGTCCACCAAGACTTGGTCAAAAAAATTGATGACTGTCTCGGTGTGCATGAAGTGGCTAGACCTGTTGGTTGCCAAAAAGTAGACCCCTTGTCCATATTTTTTTTGTAATTCCACCTTCTTCTGGTCAGTCAAGAATCCATTTGGTACTACAACGGTCAGGGGGCCAGATTCTCCAGAGGCCCACAGGGATGTGACCAAAGTAATCGAAGCCCTGCTGCCATCCACGCCATCTGCGCGTGCATCTTTTCCTGATGTATGTCAGTGCCACGTGCAGTAGTAAGCAGGTTTCATGTTTTCTAGGCGTTTGCGTGGTTACACAGCCCTTTATATTTATATATATAATCTAATGTATAATATTTACACAGTTGCACACATATGTGCAATGACTTGCTGCTGACAAACTGGACCCCCGGAGTCCTGTGATTCTTCTCTTCTTGGAAACTTGCCAGGTTGGTGTTCTGTTCCTCTGAAGCGCGGCAAGCTCCTGCTGGGCTTTCTCTCTTTTTCTTGTGAGGGTGGCTTGCATGGGTTCCGTTTCAAAGCTGCGATGCCATAGCTTCTTTGGAGCTTCCCATGTAGCCTTCCACACTTGGTCAAAGTTCAAGGTCATGTCCAAGCGGACTGACTGTTGAGCTCTTTGCAACCGGAATGTTTTTCGGGAGCGTTCCATCCTTTCATCCGCAAAGTCCAAGTAAGCTCCATGAGTGTTTGGCGTCTTGGCTTTCCAGCCGTATGCTGCCAACAACCTGCCAACCCACCTGTCACTGACCTTGAGCTTTGCAGGCGGCGCTTCCATGCCAAGCTCCTTGGCCATCTCCTCTTGTGTTTGGTGGTAGGTGGCCAGAAGTTCTTCTGCATCTTTCTTCACCAGCTTCAAGTCCAATTTGCCACTTGTGAGGTTTGAAGTTGCCGAACCCGTTGTTGACTTTTCTAGCATTTCCACCAATTTTTTTGAGATGCAACTGGGAATGTTCTTCCCATCCTTGAATCTCTCTAGCGAACGGGGCTCCAATCCCAAGGGCACTCGTACCCAGTCGGGCAACTCTCGCCAATGCCGGTCTGCTTCTGGCAGCCGCTCGAATGGTATTTCATACCACTTTTGCTGCTCAGCTTGAGTCTTCCAGCGGCCCAGCATCCCAGACTTCAACCCGTTCTTGCCGGTGAACAAATTGGGAAACACCTGAGCAACTGCTTTCTCCAAGCCATGCGTCTTACCACTTTCCACTAACCTGTCCATCTCCTTGAGCGCCTGGAGCTTCTGGTAGATGGTGGGGCGGTTGCGGCTTTGGAAAGAGTTGCCGTGAGATCGACCCTCCCTCTCTTCCTCTGAGTCTTGTTCTGAATCAGGTGGCTCCTTCCCGTGCAGAAAGAGAACATAATTGCACCACTTGGTTGAAAAAGGGGCATATGATTGGATATAAGTGATGTTCTGGTAGTACAGTAGAAAGCAGATTTTTGGGGACGCTTACTAGAGCTGTGCTTCCATTGTGTCTCCTCCTCATTGCCGTGGCCTTCATCTTCTGCAGGTACTACTGCGTGCCCCTCCTCGCAACTATGCGCCCAAGAGCGTTTGCGTCCAAATTTGATTCAAAAAGGTTGATTCAAAGTCTCAACTGATGGAGAGTCTTCATACGGGTGAGTTTCAACAGTTGAGAAGGCCGCATCAAAAGTCTCAACTGTTGAAATTTTTTGGGGGATTCCAGCAGTTGAGAAGTGTATCAAAAATCTCAACTGATGAAAAGTCTTCATGAAGGGAGTTTCAACAGTTGAGAAGGCATGAAAAATCTCAACTGTTGAAAAGCGTTGGGGATTCCAGCAGTTGAGAAGTGTATCAAAATTCAAAATATAGATAGATAGTTAATTTCTTGGAGAGGGATGGCTCCATCCTGAAAGTCATCCTGCAGTGTGTCAGCGCATCTCAACCAGAAATCTGTTCAGGTGATTTTTAGACAAAGTGGGGGGAGTTGGAACACATGCAACCCCTGCAGTAAGCAGCTGGTTGCACAACTGCTTGCTGCTGTACCAGCGTGCCTCATCCGAGAAAGTAAGCTTCCTGCGCACGGTCTGTAGCTCCTGCGTTCAATCTCGGCGAGGTTGGAAAATGGGCACACACACGGCAACTGAAAAAAGAACAGTCCTCAAACTGCGATAGGGATTGCTCTTGAGTTGGTGTGGAGGATGAGGTACGGGGCATCGAGGAGGAGGAGGCGTTTGTAGTTGTGGAAGTCTTGGACTTCTTGCTAGAAGTAGCTGAGCTTGCATCACCACGCAATCGTTTCCGCATCCATTTGTTGCCATCATAGGTGTGCGATGTATTGCTTTGTCTCCGCGCAAGCCGCAGCTCCAAGATGGCCTTCAAGTTCATGACTTGGGACATGTATTTTCCAGCCTCTGCCACGCTTTTGGGGCCTTTGTCCACACTCACGACTTTTGACATCTCACGTTTGGCCAGCGGAAACAAGGCCAGATGTTCCAAAAAGCCTTCAGAAGCAGTGGCCTGGTCGAACTCAGCAATCTTTTCAACAAGGTAGTCCACAACAGACTGAATTTCCTCCACTGCTCTTCTCAGAAGTGATGAGGAGGAACCCGGACGTTCCTGTTCTTCGCCTTCTGACTGCAGCTGTGCCCGCCGCTTCATGTTCTGCTCCGCTTTCTTTTGTTTCTTGGCGCCCTTGCGGGTGGAGGCATCTAGAGATTTCTTGAATGCATCCACGGATGATCTGGCACATTCCTTGATGTTCTCCAAGAGGGACACCTTTTGCCCCACTACATTGACCATGTAATGAGATTTCTTGCCCGTCCAGTGAACTTCCACCGCCTTCTCCTTCCAATGTTCCTCCTCGAATTTGTAGAATGCTGATTTTCTGTCAGTTCCCGTCAGGCCAAAGAACAAGCTCTCCTTCTGCAGTTTCTGGAACAAAGACAGGTGTGAGGGATCTGGTTTTTCCTCCCCTGGCACAACCAAAAGAATCCCAAGGAGCTTCATGTCTCTTGCAAACCGGCAATCTTGCATGCATGCCATGTCCATGTCCCACTCCGGAAACCGCTCTTGGTCGCTCCATGCGGGAACCAGGACTGCCTGCACAGCGGGGACTTTGTCAATCTCGCCAAACAAGTATGCAGCCGTCTTTTGACCTTCCCTGGGGAAGGCCAATTTGTTGACATGTGCCAACGCGCCTCCGCTCACATGCAGGTCCACTGTAGAATCCTTGCGACTGAAGAACTTGCGCTTTGCTTGTAGCCTCTCCTCGCCCGGGACAAAATGCTCAGCTGGGTCGATTATCTTCACTTTTTGCGACTCGAGAACCTCTGGCGGAAGGACCTTCAGCGGAGTGATCTTGGCTTTGGCCTTGGCTTTCTTTTCCTTGGCTGATAGTCCTTTCTTCTTGTCCTTGCCTTTCCCTGTCTCTCCTGTTTTTGCATCCGCTTTTGTCTCTCCACTATCCAGATTCTCTCCCTCCGTGCTGGCCAGATCATGTTCTGGTTTCCAATCTAAAGGCCTGTAGAGGCTCCTCCCTTGGCACCCTCGGAGCTTGAGAAATTCCAATGGGGTAAGCTGCTGCACCTGAGAGATCGCGTGGACGACAAAGGGAAGCTTGTAGGGAAGCCCCTCAGAATCCCATTTGTGCTTCTCTTTCAGCTTCAAAAACTGTGATTCGCTCGTGATGCTGAGTGGCGGCGAGAGCCGGCAACGGCCATGGATGGTGCTGCCTTGTGCCAAGTACATGACCTCATTCCCAGCACAGCTTGTCATCCTGCTTTTTCTGATCTCAAGTACTTTCTCTCCTCGCAGAATGGCATTGAGCCATTAGAATGATTTTGGCTAGAGGCGGTGGGGTTTCAGAGATCTCTCCAGGCAGAATGTCCGCTTTGAGACTGCAAAAGTCATCCACACTAAGCCCTGCCGCTTTCAAGGAGGGGTCTTTGGTCTTTGGCGACAGCTTCGCAGCTTTGGCCTTGCCAACATCATCATCTTGTGGTGAGGGCTTGGTCTTGCCTTCATCCTTCTGCGGCAGCTTGAGCTTGGTCTTGTCTGGGCCACTCAACACGCTAAGCTCAGGCAACAGGACCAGGTTGAACCATGCACGCAAGAAAGCAACCTTCTTGCCCTCCTTGCCTTTGGCCTTGTTGAAAGCAGCCGCATCTGCGCCAATCTCCAAGAGCTCATCCTTCATTCTCTTGATAGTGTAGCCTTGGGCCTTGATGTTCTGATCCTGAGAGAGCTGTATATATATATATATATGTATGCGCACGCGCATGACTTTTTAAGCATAATATTATACATCTATCTATATATCTAAAGCCTTTTCACTTGTCTTTACAGGGCTCTACGCACAGCAGTAAGCAGCCTCACATGCCCTGCTTGCTGCCCTCCCGGAACCCCACAAAATTTTCTCCCTCGCTCCAAGGTGCATGCAGCAGCTTGTGGGCCATCGCCGCTTGCTCCTGCCCTGAAACTGTCACATCAAACCCGGCAACGTCAATCACATAGTTCCCATCAGCGTTCTCTGTCAGGCCATCGAGGGTTGATGGTGGCTGGATTTCCAAAATCGTGGAAGGCGACCCTTCTTTCAGCCGCACGCATGAAAACAGGCTGATAAAGGCAATCCCGACATTTTGCACTTGCTGGGCATTTCCCATCCTTTGATGCCAATGCAGGTCTTTCTTCCAATTAATGTGAGTTGACACTCCTGCTGCAGCTGCTTGCTTTGCAGAGACAAGTACGCCACACACTGCAGCTTTCTCCCGTCCAGTCATCCAGCGAAGCCGCTTTCCATGAAACAATCGTGTGGCCCCACTCTTGGTCAAACATGGAAGGGTCCCATCTACATGAGTCATAGTAGGATACTTGTCCGCGGTCTGCGAAATGGAATACACGGGTGAGAAGCCCGTCCCCGCGAACTTCTTCTCAAACCTGGGTCATTAGCAGCGCAAGGCCAATGAGAGTACAACTCATATAATTTTATATATACATTTGTACACATGAACAAAGCCACACCCCTACGTTGTAAACTTGTGAGGGTTGCAATTCAATTGGTTCAACAAAAAATATTTATATGTATATATACACGAAGAAAGCTTGTCTAGGCTAATGCAAGATGACAAGGCATCATATTTCACCAAATTCTGCTGTTCCCAGGCTGATAGCAGTGGGCGCCAGTCTGACACATCGCATTCTTTAGGGTCTCCTAAAAACATCAAGCAGCTGACAGTTGGAGGCTATGATATTGATCTCTACACAGATGTCTAAACACACCTGTAGTAAGCAGATCGGTGCATGCTTACTACTGCCCCCCTTGGCTGTTTCCTGAATGGTAAGCTCTTTTTGGAACTACTGTGGCCTGCTTGCGCAGGCGGTAGCAAGGCAGCTAACTGTGGCCAAGCTATGGACTACACTAAGAAGCTTCTGCTGAGAAGCCACCTGTACACTTCAGCATTCGGCTCTATTCAGGATCACTTTGCGTTTGAGTGCCTTCTTCCTTTCTTTGCCCGGGCACCAGCTTCGGCTACAGGCTCAACCAAAAGTAGCCCACAATCCTCACATTTCATTCGCTTCTGGTAACCATTGGAGCCACGGCGTGTGACCCGCAGGTGAAGGCAGCTCTGGCGCTGGGCAGGAGATTGGCCACTCTGCCAGCCTGGTGAGGTCGGTGAGGTTGCTTGATTGCCTGAGACCATCGTCCAATGGGAAGATTGCCCATCGCTATCATTCTTTGCCTCACAATCCACCAGCCGAAGGTATAGAAATAGGTGATACTTCTCTTCTTCGTTCATCAGCCAAACCAAGAGTCTTGCCAAAGCCATCTTTGGCCAGCTGCGGGCGCAAAATAGCCAAAAGATTGCCACCACGCATGCTCCCATGGCAGCTGCGCAAAAGCTCATGCTGGACTGGCTTTCAGAAGGAACAATTGTAGTCTTGGAACCTGTTCTGAGCTTGAAACTATTGCAGCCAAAGCGCAGGGAAACCTATACGATGGGTTGGTAAGTTGCTGCACTACGCTTAGATATGTATATGAATATATATATATATAATATATATGCAAATATTTGCATACCTACATACTTACATGGACATGCCTTAACAAACTGATGGGTGAATGGCAGTGGTAAGCTGCTCTCTGCCTAAGCTGCTTACTGCAGTGCCGCTGGTTTCTATCCTCTAGGTACTTTAAGGTCTGGACTGTTGAAAAAAACTTTTTTTTTCAGGTGATTTTGCCTTTTGCGTCCATTTGTACAAAACTAGGACCTGTATAGCTTTTCAACAGACCAGATTCTGGCTTTTCCAGCACCACTGCAGTATCTAGCTACTTCTTGCAAGGGCTCCTGCTGTCAAAGGCTTCTTAGGTTTAGGTCCTGGTGGGGGGACAGGAGACCTCCACTCTGTTGGCAAAGAGCTAGCCACGTGGCGCCCGGGTTGCAACCCACCTGTTTCATCACTTGGTTGTTCAAAGCTTGGCCCACCATCCTCCTTTGCATCCACCAGGCCGTGTCCTCGATCCTCCTCCCTCTCCTGCTCCTCTGTGGCTTGCATTCCTGATGTTTCGCGGGCTTGTCTTTTTCTTTTTCTCTCTCCACCAGTTCCTCTTTGGTTTGCAATCCTGCTGCTTTGCGTTTATATTTGTGTCTTCTCTCAATGGATGGTGAGCTTCTGATCTTTTTGGGTAGGCGCTCGCGAGTCGGTTCTGGCTCCAGAGGCTCCTCCTTGACTTTTATGTTTGCTCTCCCCCCACCTGCCTCCTTCCCCTCCTGGGCTTCTGAAGGGGGGTTTGACATCCTTGCCCAGATCAGCCTTGAGCCACAGCTGACGCATATCAAGTCTGCAATGGTTACTTGTGTGAAATACTGAGATGAACCAAACGCTTATAAATATGTATGTATATGCGCATGCATGTATACAAGTACATGCCGTGCAGGTTGCGTGCCAATTTACACACGACAGTAGTAGGCAGATGCAATGTGACATGTTGTTGTCTCCTTCAGCCTTGCTGTTGGCATACCTCTCCATTTCCATGCGCAGGGCATCCTCATCCTTTTCAAAGAACAGGTCTTCCACAGTTGCTGGAGGGATACGTTCCCGCACAAAAGCTGACAAGGATTCGTAGGCTTTGTCTGGTTCCCCAAAGCACTCCAACAAATCAGGCCGGTAGAATATGTCAAACCTCAGCTGGTAAGCAAAAAGAATGTGGGCGCCGGTCCCTCATCCTGGACATATTTACATATATATATATATCCATATGTATGTATACAAAATGCTAATATTGCCAAGAAGCCTTCTCGGTCTGCCAATTGGGATCCCCACATCCAGGGGCTTGACCTTTACCAGGATATGGCGGTACCCAGCCTTGAACATTTCGTCAACGATCATGCCTGACTGGAAGGTATCGACGTTCTCGTGGCCCACCAAGGGCGTGCCCTTCCGGCAGTGATAATTCATCCAAATCAAGAGAAGAATGCTGTTTGTTGACTCTTCTTTTTCTTGTGCCCCTAGCGTACTCCACGATGTGCACATAGATCCCGTGAAGTCCAAGAAGGATGAACGGATCTGACACCTCAGCACCGCTATTTGAGAACTGCATATCTATATATATATATATAGTGGAAGGGAAGCTGGATTAAACCGCAAACATAAAAGTATTGTATTGTCTAAAAAGACAGGTGAGTTGCTTTTTCAGATGGGTGCTGCAAAAGGCTTCTTCTGGAATTTTGCCTGCTTTGACTAACGTAAGCCACTTCTTCCACTTCTTCCCCGAACCAGAAGCGGTGACTTTGTTCATCTCTGCCAAGGTGTGTGCATCTATGAAATCACGGACGTCCAGAAATTTGCACGCTGTGTCCGGTAGCATTTCCACTTGCGCAGCTCTGGCCTTCGCATCACATTCCACTGTCCACAATGGTTCCTGGGCTGATGAAAAGCCAATGCCACCCACCCTAAGCCTAAACAGCAAAGAGACTATCTACAGTGCATCTACAGTGCACAGTAGTAAGCAGCACCATCCCCCTGCCAACCACCCCATGCTTCCTAGTTGCAGTAAGATCCCCAATGTCTGCACCAAATGTTTTGCGGGCAGCGTTGATGGATTCCAAGGCCCTCTCTGCGCAGCAAATACCTGAAAACATGCTTGTTGTCCCCAATGTCCGCGTGGACCACAGCAAAGAGTTGTCGCCCTTTGTTCCACACACAGAGCTATGACCAAGCGCTTCCAAAGCATATCGTGCATGCTGAATGAGCACATCAGGTGGCTCTGACATGCTGGCTACCCCGCCCAAGTGGAATCAGCTCGAATTCCACAATTTGCCAGCAACACTTTGAGGGAATATGAACCCTAGTATTCATACGTATAAAAATGTATCTACACATAGAGAGACAGTATTTTGTCTTGTATAAAGCCCATTGGTGTCACTTCATGTTCATGGTGTATACTTTGAAATCAGCTTCTGAATGCCTTGCTTTGCCATCAAAAGCGTGGTTTGCTTTGCGTGCCAGCTTGAAATGCAGGCGCATGAGAACCAGCAGCAAAACCAAACCTTCAACATTTGGAAACTCCCAATCCACAAAGCTACAAAACAACCACACACATGAATGCAGTAGTAAGCATGGTTTTCGAATCTGCTTACTGCAGTGCTCCACTCTTCTGCAAACAAGGACTAAGGATAATCTTTTTTTTAGGGCTGCGCTGAGAGCAAAGGGAAGTCAGGATTGCAGCAAAGGAACGGGAGGAAGTGTGTTCACAGGGGTCAGGTTCCTTCCTTCTTCCGCTTTCTTCTAATAGTTTTTTAAACCATGCAGTTATCCATGTCCTTTTACTTTTTGTCCCTTTTCCTTTCCTTTTTAGTTTCCTTCCTTGTTCTTACCCTTATGTAACATAATGTAACCTTTGCCTCTCCCAGCGTTTCTTCTTTTTTCCTTTTTTCCTTGTATTATGTCCTTTCCCTATATGATTCCTTTTTTTCCCCTCCTGCTTACTGCCCCTTCTTCCACCAATACCCCCTCTCGGGCAACTTTATGAAAATCACAAATTGTACCTGAAAAGCGCCAGTAGTAGGCATAGGAATCCCTGCCTACTACCTGACCTTGACTATACTTGACTTTTGGAGGAAGTCTCGTACGAAAAACGCTCGTTTTGCAGACTTTTACATGTGAGTTTTTAAGGAAGTCTCCTACGAAACGCTCGTTTGGAAGATTTTTGGAGACTTGACGTGTGGCTTTTGGAGGAAGTCTCATGCGAAACGCTCGTTTTGGAGACTTGAAACGTGAATTTTCGAGGAAGTCTCGTACGAAACGCTCGTTTTCGAGACTTGACATGTGACTTTTCGAGGAAGTCTCGTATGAAACGCTCGTCTCGTTTTGGAGACTTGACGTGTGTCCTACTTGACGTTGTGGGACACTCTTGTAGGGCGCTCTTGGGGGACACTCTTGTGGGGCACTCTTGTAGGAAACTCTTGTGGGACACTCTTGTAGGAGACTCTTGTGGGGCACTCTTATAGGACACTCTTGTGGGCACTCTTATAGGACACTCTTCTGGGCCCCTCTTAACGGACACTCTTGTCGGACACTCTTGTGAGACACTCTTATAGGACACTCTTGCGGGACACTCTTATAGGACACTCTTGTGGGCCACTCTTATGGGACACTCTTGTCGGACATTCTTGTGGGACACGCTTGTGAGACACTCTTGTAGGACACTCTTGCGAGACACTCTTGTGGGACACTCTAGATCTTGTCGGACATTCTTGCGGAACACGCTTGTGAGACACTCTTGTGGGACACTCTTGTGGGATACTCTTGTAGGACACTGTTGTAGGACATTCTTGTAGGACACTCTTGTGGGACGCTCTTGTGGGGCACTCTTGTAGGAAACTCTTGTGGGACACTCTTGTAGGAGACTCTTGTGGGGCACTCTTATAGGACACTCTTTGTGGGCACTCTTGTAGGACACTCTTGTGGGCCACTCTTAAGGGACACTCTTGTCGGACATTCTTGTGGGACACGCTTGTGAGACACTCTTGTAGGACACTCTTGCGGGACACTCTTGTGGGACACTCTAGATCTTGTGGGACACTCTTGTGGGACACTCTTGTAGGACACTCTTGTGGGACGTCCCACAAGAGTGTCCCACAAGAGAATCCTATAAGAGTATCCCACAAGAGTGTCTTACAAGAGTGTCCTACAAGAGTGTCTCACAAGAGTGTCCTACAAGAATGTCCGACAAGAGTGTCCCATAAGAGTGTCCCACAAGGAGAGATTTGTGGTTTCAAGAGTATCCCGCAAGAGCTTCCTACAAGAGTGACCGACCCACAAGAGTGTCCCAGAAGAGTGCCTCACAAGAGTGTCCTACAAGAGTGTCATTTGGACATATGTCGGTTTTTGAACGTGTTTGCATTCGGGTTCGTGGGCTCCATCTTGTTTTTTATAATTGATATTTTTTAAATCAATATATTGTTAATGATTAGGGTTTAGTAAAATGATTTTATTTTTGGAAATTGGTATTAAAGATATTTTACTATTTTGGATCTTATTATGAATTCTGTTTTGATTGATTTGTAAATACGATATTTTTGATATGATTACGAAAATATATCGTAATGCGTGTTGATGATATTTATTTTCGATGGGTGTTTAAGTTGTATATTAATATTTTTGGTGTATTGAAAGATTTTTAATATGTTTTGACGGTTCTTTAGATTTTGGGTTTAAAATTAATATGGTTAAATCGATTAGTACATTTCGTGGGATTAGTCAAAGACTTTATTTAGTCGCGTGGCGTAAATGCAGAATTACATGAATTAATATTATGATAAGATTGTATTTCGCTTTGCCTTTTAGGAAGACGGGCTGCTTTGTGTTGGTCCTCTTAATTTTTAATGTTTTTTCGCATATGTTGAATGGTCCGGTGGAAGCTTATAGCATATAATCTTTAATTTGTGAAAAGAATTGATTGCGAATGGCGTATTGTCCATGTTTTGCGTAGCAATGGTATTTTGAATGCAATAATTATGTTTCAAAGGTAGGCTGTTGTGTGAACGCAATGCGGTGCAAATCTCAAGCCCCCTTCCTGAGCTCCAAGGCAGAGGTAGTGCGCTGCGAGTCAAACGAGCAGATGCAGATTTTTGCTTCATTGTTTGTTATTTTCATCCAAGCTCAAACCCACCCACCCAACTGCAGTCAACAAGACTCTCTGGAAATGGGTGGACGCAGTCGTCAGCTAGCTGCCGGCCAGATGTGTCCCTTGCTTGCTGGGAGACATCAATGCGAAAGTGGGCCAAGAAGCAGGTGGCGATGGATTGCTCTTGCTTGCAAACAATACCAACATTGGGCCCTGCAACCCGGAGGTTCAGAACCACAACGGAAAGCAGCTTCACACATTTTTGCACACGCATTACATGTCTATCTATTGTTAATACATTTCATTCGGTTGGGCCCACATACTATGGAATTGTTGCCGGCTACACATCTCATATTGATTACATTTGTTTACCAACCAGTCTGTTTGGCTCCATGCAGCGTTGTTGTATCTGGCGCGCTACCGGAGATGAGTTGCAGCTGGTGGCTGCGCCTGGCAAACGTGATCAGAGACCGGTACAAGTGGTTCTGGAACACGCGCTTGTTTCGCCACAATCTCCTGCAGCGCCTGGCACACATTGGGACACAGATAAATTCATGCATGGTGTTTTGCAGGGGGAAAACAGGACCCCATTTGTGCATGCGGTTGAAGCAAAATGCCAAGTACTTCTCCAAAGCCCTGCTTGGCATCAGGCTATATGCCAAGGGCATCCCGACAAGGCGTGGCAGATGCTTCGACGCATTGTGGTGGATGTTGCCAGACCTCTCTTTCAGCAAGCTCCTACCTGTGTCAAACAGGCAGCCCGGCCTACTGACACAAGCTTCGCTTTGCAGCGCCAACATGACTGCAAATTCCATTTCCAAAACCTACCTCGTGCACGCCGGTTCTGGTCTCACGGCGGAGGACCTGACTATGTGCCCCTACAGGCCCTGTCAGATCTTTTGCACAGATGGCAGGCAATCATCCAATACCACAAAGGCCAAAAGGCTGCCAAGCACTCGAGACAAACGTGCCCAAGCTCAACGTCTGGTTGCTCAACTAGAATATAGCTGGTCTCAGCGTGACTTCCGCTCTAAATGGCAGCTTGCACGCAGACTGTTGGCCCTAAACAGCGCCGGTATGATCGGCCGCCGAATTGCAGACCTACGGTGCAAGACTGGACCCAGCACATGCGTCAAGCTGGCCCTGATGGCGGCTGCAAAGCTCATGTCACAAACTGGGACCAGCATGTGCAACAATATACCGCCTCAGCTTTGTCATGGCAAGACAGATACCAAGCAGACAACTCTTGGCGTCGACAAATGCGCATTCTGGCACAAGAATATGTTCGACGGGTTGCGCAACACGTCTGGCTCGCAAAAGCCCGCAACAGTGCGCCCCACATGACTTCATGCAGCACGAGTTTTGGCCCGACGCAACAACAGAGGCAATACAAGCAATAGCGGAAGCAGCAGCTGCAGAACAGACCGACACACAGGTGGTCCCTTTCATTGAACAAAATGACGACCAGATCGACAACAACAGAGGCACTCTCACCAGACTGCAAGAGACACAGCTCGCAGCAGCACGACGAACAGTACAACGCCTACACCGGAACCTTGGGCATCCAACCAACCTGGAACTTGCTAAGTCCTGAAGACTAAGAATGCCAGTGCCAGCATCCTGTTAGCAGCCAAGGAACACACATGCCAGCTATGTGATGCCCACCGAGCACCAGCACAAGTGGCCAAAAGCACCCCACGCACTGGCAGCAGCTTCAATACCAGAATCCAAGCAGACACTGTTTGGATCCACCCACCACGACAACATGGACGAGACAAGCCACCGCCAATTCCAGTTCTGTCCATTGTGGACGCAACGACCAAGTTCATGGCCGCTCGAATCCTCTCCAGAGAGCAGTCAGAATACCTCATACAAGCCTTGAACGTGGCTGGACTCGATTCTTTGGTCCTCCAGCCATCCTCCAGCTCGATGACCACAGAGGCTGGGCTTCAGAATCGAAGCTCTCAGGACGTGGGCCAGCGACCATGGAACAGAAGTTGAGATCGCCCAGGCCAGACCTGAGCGTAGCCGAAAGACACCAAGTCCTGAGAATCATTGAACTTTTCTTAGCGCGTCAACCTGAGGACAACATGTCCATTCAGGACCAGATCGACCACTCTGCTATGTCGTGCCCCAGATCAACAA